AGTGAAGCAAGTGAATGGTAAGAGGAAGATGGACGATATCCAGGTTGACAAGGAGTCGGGTTCTAAACGTTGTGAGGTGAGTGGAATGGTTGTAGTTGAGGCTGGGAATAAACTTATAGAAATTGCTTTGAGGTCGGCAGAGGCTAAAGTCCAGCCTTGTCGGAAGCAATGAAAATCTTGCGTTCCAAGGGATGGGGAATCCTAGGGCGTTCCGGGCTAAGTGTGACTTTTTGAGTCACAAAAGTGCCCAAGTGCTTTTTCTTTCTGAGACAAAGTCCGATGTTTCATTAATTGGAAGGCTGAGAGATAGGTTGAAGTTTCAGGGTTGTTTTTCAGTAGGGAGTAGAGACTCTAGTAGAGGGTTGTGTTTATTGTGGGACTCTGAGGTAGATGTTTCCGTTCGATCGTTTTCATCTAATCACATTGATGCTAACATTGTTTGGAAGTCTTTTAGGTGGAGGTTCACTAGGTTCTATAGACATCCTAATGCGTCTAAACGGGGGGGAGACGTGGAATCTTTTGAAGCGGATTCACAATATGGACAATACGGCTTGGTTGGTTGGGGGCGATCTAAATGAAATTCTTTGGGAATTTGAGAAAATAGGAGGTGGGCATAGGAGGAGTTCTTTGATTTCTGACTTTCGTGAAACGATGGATGCATGCGGTCTAGTTGAAATGGATTGTGTGGGGGATCTATTTACGTGGAATAATAGGAGGGAGGAGGCACAGATTCAAGAGAGACTTGACAGGTTTTTGTGCAATAACGTGTTTTTAGAAATGTTTGACAGTTACAGAGTTCTTCATCTTCCTTGGGCAAGGTTGGATCACAGGGCAATTGAGTGTAGCCTGGCTGAGAATAAAAGGAGTCCTTTGGGGAGGAAAAGGTCACGTATTTTTCGATTTGAGGAGATGTGGACGGGAAACAAGGAATGCAGAGCTTTGATTGAGGCAGAAGGTAAGTGGTTAGATCAGGAGTGGAAGGAGAAGTCGTTGGGAGCACATCTAAAAGGATCAAAGTTGGCATTAAGACCGTAAGGGGGTAAGCAAAGGAAAAGATTGTTCAGTGAAATTGAGAAACTTAAAGTTGTGCTTGATGAGGAGTACAGGAGACAGTTCCCTTTAGACTTCTCAAAGATCAACGCCATTAAAACAGAGTTAGATAAGTTGTTGGAAGATGAAGAAATTTATTGGAAACAACGATCAAGGGAGAATTGGCTGAAATGAGGGGATAAGAACACCAAATGGTTCCATAAACAAGCTTCATTGAGGAATAAGATGTATATTGGTGGTATTACCACCTTTTCGGGAAGCTGGACGAATGATGAAAATGAAATAGGAGACACTTTAATCTCTTATTTTAACTCTATTTTTCAGTCGGTTAGGCTGGATCTAGCATATATTGATAAAGTGATGGAAACTATACAATCTAGGGTTTCAACGGATATGAATGCAAAGCTGCTAGCTCCTTTTGTTGAAGGAGAGGTTTATCGGGTAGTAAGGGAGATGTTTCCAACAAAGGCGCCAGGGCCGGACGAGTTTCCAGCTTTATTCTATCAGAGATATTGGTCTGTGGTGGGACCAAAGACGGTGGCGTGTGTTCTTAAGATCCTTAATGAAAGAAGCAGTATTAAAGATTGGAATAAGACGACGATAGTCCTTATCCCGAAGTGTAAGGATCCTAGTAGAGTAACTGATTTTCGTCCTATTAGCTTGTGTAATGTATCCTATAAAATTGGGACAAAAGTGTTGGCTAATCGGCTGAAAGAAGTTCTAGATGTAGTGATTTCTGAATCTCAGTCGACGTTATTCCAGGTAGATCAATCTCTGACAATATAATCATTGGGTATGAGTGTCTTCATGTTTTGAAGGATTAGAAATTGGGTAGAGAGGGTTTCGCTGCACTAAAACTCGATATGAGCAAAGCTTATGATCGAGCGGGGTGGATTTTCTTAGAAAAAGTTATGTTGAGGTTGGGTTTTGCTACTTAGTGGGTTGGACGTATTATGCACTGCATATCTACGCTATCTTTTGCAGTTAACATTAATGTGACAACATTAGGGAAGATAATACCTACTAGAGGACTTCGGCAGGGGGATCCTATCTCCCCATATTTATTTCTCCTATGTACGGAAGGTCTGTCCTCGTTGATTACGAATGCATCTCTCAAGAATCAGGTATTGGGGTTGGCTTTGTCTGATCAAGGCCCAATGGTATCTCACCTATTTT